CTGGTCAGAGGATCGTCAGTGGATGTACAGGCAGCAAAATGGTTTTATGTGTGTCTCCGGTTCGTGAAATCACCAAGTGAAATAAACTTGCAAACCAAACTTTAATATTAACTCCTAACGTTTAACCGTTGGCTGAGTCTTTTGATCTTGCAGCCGTTGACGTAACATCCAACAAGAACGTAACACGTCCCCCCCCCCCTCCCCCTTCCCTCCCGCATATGCATATGTCATATGCACAGTTAGGAAACGCGTTTCCCTGTCTAATTCTTACCTTGCCACGTGAATGCCACACAATACAAGTGAAATTATAAAGTAGATGAGCAAGAACACAAATCTAAATAGACAGTAACACAAATCTAAGGCACTTTAAAGCAGCAGGTGAAGGAAGCAATAGAAATACAACAGGACCACAATACAATGCAATTATGCATGTGCGAAATGAGCATGTAAACGGTACAGATGGAATACATGAGGTAGATCCTGAGTCAGCTGTTTAGGAGTCTGATGGTAGTCGAAAAGAAAGAGTTTATTCAAAAAGAAAATGTTGATACAGTTTAATATACTATAACATCTACTTCAAAATATGAAAAAAGGAGGTACCCACTCGCAGAGCGCGTAACTAAGTGCCTAGCTGGGGACCTTTACACAAAAGCTTGGTGTGGTTTATATTAAAAGAACACCCACTGTCGCAAATTAAGTAAAATTCGCATTCACTCCATCATTACAGTAAAGAGTACAACCTCCCAACGAAATTCTCACAGAGCTCTTCCCTGCGCTCTGGCCACCGACGACCGCTATCTGCGGCAGGTCCAAGTTGCAGCTCTGGCCGATGGAGCTGAAGGCGTCCTGGAGCTTGTTAATGAGGGGAATGAGGTCTTCCATCCCCCGGTTTCCCATCGTGGCACCTCTGTCAGGCCAGCGGGGTCTCTCCTGATCCCCTCCCTTGTCAAATAAGCGCTAAAGTGTCGCTCTTAAAGCAAACCAAAAGTTTGTATCCTACTTGATACAGATGACCTGCAGTTGACCTGTGCTCTCAGTCTGGCTGAAGCGAATGAAAGCAGCAGGTCACTTTCTCCTGTCTCATGCTTTTTCTATTGTTCTGTCAGAATGATAATCTACCTACAGGCCTCACACCCCGAGGCCTGTTCCAATGCGTATTGACAAGCACTTCACTGGCTGGGCACCATATTAGCCACAAGAGGGCGCAGCAGAGAAAAAACCAGATGCAGAAGAACCACTGATCTACGTTATCTCACATGGTGCATTTACTATACTGTGTTGGAACCTGCTACAGTCAACTCAAAATGCTTAATGTCGCGAAACTGAATCAGATTTTTATTCTCATTAAACTGAATAGGGGGTGCAATTATAATCAATTCTTTACTCATTCAAGATAAACACTGTGTATTCTAATTGCTCTGGTGATGCTGCCTATGTAGTGTGAGATATCTGTGCCACTGCCTTTTGTTATTTTTTTTTTATGTGTGATTTAACCACATTGGATATTGTAATATTGAGAAAACTATAGCAATGCTTTACAAGGTATTTCAAGTAGTTGCCAATGATCAGGTTTAAGGAGCAAATCAAGAACTATTTCTGATTAGCAGCTAATTAATAGCTACTTGCACTATATCCATGAAGAATTATATAATAGATAACTAGTGTCTTAGATTTACAAATGTACACAATCATCAGTTAATAAATAATTCTGTTAACTCTGAATCATCTGCTAAATTGAAACCACTAGCCAGTAACTTCCTTCTTTGCGGTACTTATTTTTGTGACCACTTAGGCAAAGTGGTTCTTACACACATGATTACCTTATAACACTGATTAATTTTGGTGCCTTCCCAAGTAAAGTACAAACTGAAATATAACAAGTGAGCGTTTACTGAGAGTCATCGACTCCACCTCAACATAACAGGATTCCTAAACAAAATGCGCTGCCGTCCATAAATGAACGGCAGGGCATCCCCTGAGCTCATCTGTTTGTTCAACTCCTGCATCTCCTCATTGGGGTGATCTTCAGGATTTTCCTGCAGAGGGAAAGGGCAGTGGTCAGATAAATGCAGTTGTTGCTCACATGTGCAAACCCATACACACACACACACACACACACACACACACACACACACACACACACACACACACACACACACACATGTGATATCTACCGTGCTAGCATTTGTGCCAGGTTTCCATCCCTCACGTTGTGTCCATGGGATTTTGTGTCTGTACAGTAGCAGTAGTAAAACCAAAGCCATCACTAACAATCCCAGACATACCGCAACAACAGTCTTCATTATATCTGAGGAACAACAGTAGAAACTGTGAAAGAACACAGGCTATCATCAAACTATCTCTGCCCTCAGAATTCATGCACAAAGGAGAGGATGTGTGTGTTTGTGTTGCAGACGTGATTGTACATATAGGCAGGTATGAACAGCAGTTGTCTGAAGTTACCGAAGTCTGGAGGGTCATCACGGGGCCCCGCCAGACTAGAGCTTTGTGTTGTCACTGCCTGCAGAGCTGGAGGGCCTGAAAGCCATGCATCCAAATTTGTAAAATTATGGAACCTGACCTTTCATGTATTAAATGTCAATATCAAAAATAACTAGTAACTGTACCTATTAATACTTGGACTGCACTTCATTTTCAGAGCTATATTAGGTTTAATCACAGTATGTTTGTGTTATACAGTACAGTGGAATATAATACTAGAGTTCTCAGTGTACTCACCTACACAAAGGTGGAATTTGGTGTATTTGTCTTGCAGCCTTGTTTTATCAGAGCCACACCAATAAATTCCAGAGTCAGCTGTGCTCAGATTTTTGATGTGCACAAAAATGTGTTGGTTTCCTTTGTCCTCACTTATAGAAAACTTGCCATTAACACCTTCTCTGTCCAGTTCTGTTGTATGTATTCGCTCTTCACCTTTGAAAGGATTGTACAGCCTTGCACAGGAACCTATCAGTGTTCTCAGAGCTCTTGGGATATGGACACTTAATTTGTGCAGATTCACCAGTAACATGAGATGTTGCCACTGGTGTAATCTCATCCCAATCTGAAAAACAAACTCTACATCAATGCAACATCTATTCCACAGCTAAATTAAATTTTTCTGTAGACATGTGCTTTTTATGCACATACGCTTGTGTTATGTAGGTTTGTTTGCCGTGACAGGTAACTACAAGTCTGTACTTACTCAAAATGTTGAGGTGACTCTCAATTAAACATTCACTGGAATTACTGGCAGCTCTTTTCATGGCACACTGGTGTCTACCATATATTGGATTATGTAAAATTAAAATTCCTGGAAAATTGATTTATAATCTCTCTTCATTACATTCAATATGGCTAAATAAGCTAAAGTCTTACTAATAATTGAACATTCCAAAACTCCAGTTAATCTGGTTCATCAGGACTGAGCAGGTGTGGTTTGACCTGGTTTAACTGACTGTGACCAAACAGCTGTCCTCAGACTGGGAGTGAAAACAATGTGACATCACTTTTTTTTTATCAGAGCCCCACGCAAGCAAGGAAAAAAAAACAAAAATACAGAAGTATTTCATGTGAAATTGCTAAAATGGTTCAAACTTTGGCACAAATAGAGTGTTCGAGTAGGACTCCATCACCCATAGTAGGAACCTGATGGAAAAAAATGAGGTTTCAGGGCCTTAACTGATCCATTAATCTATACATAACTGTTAATGTTGCTGTAGCAGATGGATTGAGCTAGATTTAACCACTATTCATCCTATATTTTAATATATAACAGAACATAATATTTTATAGACATGCTTTGTATGTAAAACTGTTACCCACATAGTAACTAGTAACTATAACTATAAAAAAGTACAATATGTAGAGGGGTAGAAGTTAAAAGAGAAATACTTAAATAAAGTAGCTCAAAATGAAACCAAAATTGTACATTATAATAAAACTGTAGAGTAAAATACAAACCAAATGTTCATATACTTAGGTATTTTATCCAATAAACCATCAGGTCTCTGCAAAGGTATTTTACACAACATTTTACGTCTGCATTGTACTTACACTTAATGTCAACTGGTCCTCCTTTCTTTTCTGTCACAGACAAACTCACACAAGCTGTCATAAAAATAAATAAATTATATTTTATCAAAACACAGTCAACATATTTAAAATAAAATAAATTTCACACACAAAACAATTACAAGAACAAAATAATCATTTCACCTGTCATTAAGAAGATAAGGATATTTAGTGATATCCCCATTGTCTCAGTCCAGCTTTTCCCAGTTTTGATGTAAAGTCAAATATAACCGCACTTCACAGAACAACGTCCACAATGTCTCTCTTATGTCTGGATCCAAAAGAATGGCAATACCTGTTGCTTGTATCCAGACTACAGGTGTTAGTGATTAGGTATCAGTTTATTCTTTCCAGAAGGCAGGATAGAGTATTCAAAATCTGCTTTAATAGACAATTAAAAACTTAAATGTATTTCAGCTGTTTGTTGTGCAGATTCATTTGAATTCACAGATGAACAAGTGACAGTGTGCTATATCTATTACTGTGGAAATTTATTACATCGCTTGGAATTTATTTTAATTTAAACCTCTTCAGGCCCAGGCTGAATTTCAATGGACATAAAGTGTATATTGATGTCAGCATAGAGCCGTACAGTGGCTCTCAATGTGTACATACATGTCAACAAGCAAGGGAATGTGGGAGATAAAAAAAGAGTAAAGTACTTATAAATAGAGACATATACACACAGTTTAGATACTGTTTTTCAGATAGATATATACAAAGGTATATTTACAAGGTATTGCATTGGGGCTTGTTCTTTTATAAACATTTACCATTCAAAATGTTACTTTTTGAATCCTCTGCCCCTATTTAGAAAACTGGAAGTAAGGAAGTAGTATTTATATCTGACGGCCTTCGATCTATTATTTTGAAAATATGTTTGGAAACTATGACCGGAAGCGTCCTGTTTCATTGTGGTAGATTGACGCTTTGTGTTTTCTGTTCCCTGGGGCCACAGTGTTTTCAACGGGACTCAGTACTTGCTGGGTTCGCAATGGCTGCTTGACCCAGGATGAAAATTTCTCCTTTTCTTATCATTTGTTTAGGTCATTTGTATAACGTTTCAGGATAAACTTTCGTCGTTCCTGTGTAGTTTTTATGTCAAAAAATAAGGATGCAACCTCCACCGAGAAAGGTGAGTTTTCGTTGTAGCTTTCAAAGCTAATGTTGCTTGTCTGAAAACGCTCTCGACGAACTGGTGCATATTTAATGGTTGAAAGTGTGCGCTTTGTTGTTGGCCAGCAGGTTTAAACGATAAGCATACTTTTTAATTCTGAACATGTGTACTAGTTTGTCTTACAGATTTAATTTGCCCATGTTGTTTTCGTTTAATAGCAGCGAGGAAGAAAACTTTAAAAAGTCCAATGTACCACAATTTTAGGGAGAATAGCCCCGTTAATGAGCCCCGCTCCCTCGCGAACGTAGACATGTTCTTACCAAAAACATTCAAAACATGACAGTGTAAACTGTTTTCCATTTCGACAAAGTGCGTTCAGCTGTCGTTTCACATCGGTGCACAAATGATTTACCAAGAAGCACTTTAGTGCAAGTAAATATAACTTTGCCTCACGCAGGTCCTATTGCCATCCACAGTCTAACTCATTAGCTGAGTTGAGCGAGATTGTGACAATAGTAGGTAAAAAGTTTGGATTTTATGCAAATGAAATGCAGTTTCCGTTTTTTGTTTATGCCGAGTTTGAGAGTGGATAAACAAGTATTCAAATAAGTCATGATATGTTATTAAAATATGTTTGGTGTTACGAAACGTCAAATAAACATATTTTTTGCATGTAGTTTGGTCAACATTTATGCCGTGCAACAAAGTATGTGGGTGGGAAAACATGGGGTATTTATAACTTACAATAGCCCACTACGCATAAGTGTAAGCTATAGCTTTAAGCGTTTTACTTACAGCAGTAAACTTTAAATCACAAAGTTCAGCTGTGTGTGGTTGTGCGCGTTTCATATTCCAATAACATGGCTCAGCAGCGCAGAATATTAAGCCTTTGTGCACAGGTACGTTTTGCAATATTTTGATAAGGGCGGTAAAATGCATGTTGGTTTATGGTTATTTTTGTTTAATGTGAAAAGCTTTATGGACTGCCTAAAGATTTTATGTGTCTTAGTTTAGTGTGTCTTTTTTTCTGATGGTTATGGGAAAAAGTACTTTTAAAATCATGAAATTAAAGCAGGCAGTCGGACTCTCTTGTATTGATATATGATTGCAGTAGCTGAGTGTGTTTAAACAATTGCAATGCATTATATATATATATACAGTCACAAGAAAAGGTAATGGCACTGTTTGCAGTGCCCTGGTTTTCTGAATTCAGAATCAGCTTTATTAGCCAGGTGAGTTGGACACACAAGGAATTTGACTCTGGTACAGTGGCTCTCAGTGTGTATGTACAGTGTTCTTCTGTAAGGCAACGAGTAGACAAGTAAACAACATAAGACAGAGAACAAAAAAAAAAGAAAAATAATGTGCAAACAAGAAAAAGGAATGTGCATTAGGAAAATAAAATATAAAGTACATTTAATGCACACACAGTTTAGATGCAGTTAGATCTTCCTAAAGTCCTCTGTCATCTCCTCTTTTTTGAGTGTATTAAAATTTAAAGTTAAAATTAAGAGACAAGTTAGCCTTGGTCAAATGGAATACTTTGTCAGCACACAAAAGGTAAAAATCTTCTACATAAATGTAATGTCATCAAAACTGCTTGTTTTTATTCAGCCAACAGTCCGAAACCTAAAAGTATTCAGTTTACTGTAACAGCCAAAAAAGCAGCAGATCATCACAATGGAGAAGCTTGACATTTTTACTAGAAACTAACTTGCAATGAATGAGAATCAAAATAGATGCAGATTATTCTTCTGTTGATCAGATAATTGCTTTACTAATTGTGTCAGCTTTAAGCTTGATAAGACATATTTGCTTCTAAGTAGGAAGACTTACTGCTCAGACCACCGCTCGGCGCTCTACAACCACCTGAATTTAACATCCACCAGCTCAGTAACCGCTTGCTATTTGACTTTGAAAGATTAAGGTTTGGGAATATTCTCAGCAAATCCCATAAAAAGATTAAAGTTAAAGTGAACTGTCAAAGAAAAGCATCAGTTCCTCACATCTGAGAAGTTTAAAAATTTTAACATTTTTGTTTAAACATGACCAAAACAATGAAGCTATTATCAAATCTTTATGTCTTGATTGTTGAACTTTCATTTGGATCACAAGGAATAAAAAGCTTTTTTCCTGTTGATGGCACTCTCGGTTGTCAGTAATGCGAACTGGTCACTGCACTTCATAATTTATCGGCCAATGTGAAACCCAGAGAGAATGACTCTTGCCTGGCCAGAGCTACTGCCTGACAATAAGTGGAGTTTATTTTTACTAACACCAATTGTGAGCTCAGCTGAATCAACACTGGCCTCTAGAGTCTTTCGTCCACCTTTGAGAAATATTTTGCCAAATTCCCTGGTGGTTTTCAAATAGGACAAATCTTTCCAGTCTCTTTATATCACCTGAAGTAAAAAAGATTCTTTCTAAAAAGCTATCTTTTCTTCTTCCTTCAGGTTCGGGTCACCCAGGGACTGAAACAAACCCATGCAGAGCAGATGAGCAGATTACACATCAAGCATCAAGCAGAATGTGACCTCCTGGAAGACCTGAGGTGAGCAGTCAAGAGGTCAAGCTGTAGTCCGGTTGCAGAGTGCCACCTTACCCCCATAACACCCACCCCCCAAACACCAGGTTTTGACTTGCAAAACAAACAAAAGAACATTAGCATATTGATTTCATAGTCAGCCTTGTGAAGTGCCTTGTTAATGGCTAACTAGCTAGATTTTGGTTTCACTGCTTTCTTAAAACCCTTATTTTTAACCCCAAGTTCTCCTTGAAGGATAGACCATCCATACAACCCGTGGCTGGGCCTACTGTTGTTGTTGTTGTTGTTGTTGTTTTTTGTGTTATCCTTTCCTGAATACAAGACTCCCAATATCATTCACACCACTCCAGACACCACCCTGTGTTTACATTCTTGTTCCCGCTACCTGGCATCTGCTTTTGCCGACATCACACAAGTTGTGAATGACGGCAGGCTTTTATCTGTCAGGTACCAACATGTAGTCTGTCGTGTCCTTCATTGAAGTTGCAGCAAGAATTTATGACTGTATAACTGTATAGTTTTACAGTGACCATCTTATCAATCTTATCAACCATCTTGTGTAGTCTGGACCCAGCATAAAGAAGCCTTTTCTCTTGTAAAAGTGAAGTATGAAATGACACCACTTCTGTGAATACAGAACATAAAACCTTACTTGTGTTGTCAGTATATGAGCAACATACTCTCACTCTCTGCTGTCAAGTTCTTCATGGGGGTAGAATAATTTTCTCTGGCAGTTAGTGTCAGATGGTCTTTTTGAGCCCTGTATCATGCCATTCAGTCACCCCGCTAATTTTTGGCTTGTTTCTATGGTAAAAACATTGAGGAACCAAGGCTGGATGATACATTGAAATAGTTCAATTATTTAGAGTTATTAGCTTTGCACAGTGTGTAAAATATCTACATTGGGAAATCTGGGTTGTCATAACATGCTTAAAAGGGTCATTTCTAGTCAAAAAGCAATGCAAGTGATAGCTGCTAGATTATTTGTCTTAGAGTCATGAAAATCCAGTTAACTCTGACATCAGTAATTGCATTGTCTGCACACCTGCCGAAGATTACATGACTGTCTTGAGTCCAGGTGGCTAGCTACCTGTGGTAGTGTCATAGTGAATTAAATCTCTGAGGGTGACACACTAAAAAAAGACTGCACATTGATCTCAGTTTGCATTTTTTGAAGAAGAATTAAGATTATGAGACTTGAAAGCACTGGTGTCTACTGAATCGTATGTAGATTCTAGCTAATGCTAACTAGCCAGCTGTCTGCAGATATCAGGTCAAGTAGCACAAACAGCAGGAGCAGCTGAATCGACTCATAGTCTTTTCTGTCCCTATCTGTACTGAAGCTGATTAGAAAGTGAGTGGTTGTGCTATGGTAGAAGCAGTTTCAAATGATTTGGTTGTTCAACATTTTTGCAGGGGAAAACAAAAACATTAAATGCTGAATTGCCCCAAGCTTGAAAAAAATGAGACTATTTTTGTCCATATTGCCTTATCCTGTGGGAGCTGCTGCGACGCAATCAGAAGAGACTCCAGGAAGTTACTGGTCCCGCCCAACTAGTCTGGCACATAACCTCCATCATGCAATAGCAGTTTGTAGTGATAACATTACAAATTTAGTTTGGATAATCAAACAGGATGTAATGTCTTAATTATAACTTTAGAGGTGCTTATTTTTGTTATGTATAGAGAGTCAGGCAAGCTGTTTACCCATTTTCCCAGTCTTTATGCTAAGTTAACTGGCTGTTGGCTGTAGCTTCATATTTAGCACATAGACATGAGTGGAAAAAGCAACAAACAACCCATAAATCTGCACTTTTTGTAGGAGCTGCTGTCACCAGTGCTCCACCTCTGTTCAATAACACTCTATTCAAAAAGAATGTGCTGTGAATATGCAAATGTATAGTTGTCAGATATTAAACAGCCCCCACTTTTAAAATATAATTTCCAGAAAAACTTCTTGTGCTCAGGCCAACTAGTAATTTAATGGTTAGACCTTATTCATGTCTAATTAAAAGTTAGACCGTGTTACCCACACACAGTATGATGCGGTTTGTTCTCTTATAGTTGTACAATTGGGCTATTCTAGCTTCTGTCTCTGGCCCTTTTTATTTTATCACAGTTTAACACTATCAGCCACCTAAATCGAAAAACAAAGGTGGATTAGTCTTTAGAGTACTAGGATCAGGACCAAGTAAACAAAGGGTATAGACATCTTTAGCTCTGTGTTTAGATGCATTTTAAAGGTAGAAAAACCAAAGGTTGTGGTTTTGTTTTCAGTCTTTGTTTTGGGTTGAATTGACAATCTACTGGCTCCCCACTTGCTGTCTGTGGTTGGTGGCAAAGCTCTGAACCTCCAAACATCTGGAAGTTAAAAGTTATAGAGAGTTGCCAGATGTTCTGACTGCCCTGAATCGCTCGCCGTGAGAGGCTCAGTAAACATTACTGTCCGAACAATGTGAAACTTGACTGGAACAAAATTCACATAGGTCACTTCCTGGTTGTAGACGAGAAATGATTCAGCAAACTGGAAGTTGCATCTGTTTTTCAGTAAAAGCTCTTTTTGGGAAAATGGCAGAAAAAAAAAGAAGAGCGGGAGTCTTGGAAATGACGGAAGAGGAAAGTTCCCAGGAAGTATGCCAGATTGTTTAGAGTCAGGCTGGAGCATGGCAGTCTAGTCTCCACATGTTTAATGGCTTAATTGATGATTTCGCTATAGTCAATTTTTTCCTGAGGCACTGACCCTTCTTTTTAATTTGCTTTGCAGTTTAGCTTGTTCCTTCATTCCCTGTAATGCTTAAACACCAATACAAAAACAGTATTTACCGACATACTTTGCATTTTGCAACACGTTTTTTTCATTTGTAAATTTATTACAAACACGCAGAGGGAAAAGTCAGAACAAACTGATTAGAAGTAGAAAAGGTAGACCAACAGAAAATACACATTTTAAACACCTCTTGAACAATAAAACTTTGAAAAATGAATTATTTAATACAATTTTTAATTTAATGTATAATTTTTACATTTAATTGTAATAATTTTTTTATTTAATGTTTTAATTATTTAACTTAAATTTTTTGAGATATTTCCACATTAGCTTTAGTAAAGAAATTTAAAAAATCAGGAATAAAAATTTAATATGGTTAACATTCATTAATTCATATAAAATAAAAGACAACAAACATCTAGAAAATCAGAAAATGGGAGATAGAGTCAGGCCTGAATAGCTGAAGAAGACTGGTATAATATACATAAAAGCCAGACCAAGATCATAAATTGGGCCTAAAGAACATGATCCAACACGTTCTGACTCTAAAGTCAAAATTAATAGAAAGGGAGACAATTCCAAAGCTGGAGGCAGTCAGATTCTCTTTTTTTTTCCATTTCCATTTTCATTTTGGCACGAGGTTGTGAAAATATTCATAGTATCATTCATAGTAGTTGCTCTTCTGTCACATTATGCGGCATAATGTCAGATCAGTTTGTGGTAAAACAGGCGGCAACTGGCACTTTGTTTCCCCCAATATAGTATCTTGTATTTACTATTATTGATGATTGTACTAAAACCATTTGCTTTTCTTCTTCTCTCCAGGAGTTTCAGCCTTAAGAGGGCAGCTGTAGAGAGGGACTACGCTCAGGTAAATCTGAAGTCTTGCTAGACTTTGTCACAGTGCTCCTGATGCTTGTTAACTTCATCACTGCCCTGCCTTGTCATTAGTGTTACAAAAAATATAGTTATTTTGTACAAAATTGTTCTCAAAAGACACCATATGACAGTGGGGTTGAGGATGTGGCCTTCAGAACGCTCTTAGTTCTCATGTTGCCAGATACTGTAAATCATGAATGATAACTAGCCACTAAAAAAAAAAATCACAGAGAGACACAACTACCATGAGCGATCCACTGCCTTGTTTCCTCCTCACTTTGTCATTTTTATCCACATCTTCCTGGAAACATCAGTTGACTGTCTGAAAATCCATTTGTTGTCTGTTCAAATTGTGTTCGGGTTTTGCAGCCCTGTGAGGAATGTTCACCACCATTGTGAAGAGAGGGGTCTGTAGTTATCCAGCTAGCAACCTAACGTGTGATTTCCTGTGTGTGTGTCTGATCCTGTTTCATGAAGCAGGCTCAGAATAACAGTGCCTTTTGTGAAAAGTTAGTCTTGAATAGAAAGCAGACAAACTTAAAGCTAATATTACCAGAGTAAGGTAAGTTTCATTTATTGCAAGTATGGCCCGATCAGTACTAGATTTACAAGGTAGATACTGATGACAGTATTTATCCATATGTACAATATACGATCAGTGCCAGTCAAACTCACTTGGGTTGTCAAGCTTAGCGAAGAGAACCCAAAAATAGTATCTTATTACTGCTGTTGAAGATCTCTGATACCTGTATGTACATTATATATAATGCTCAACTGGGTTTGTGTTCATGTCCCCTTGTAGAAAAGATTTAAATGGTCTCAGAACAGGGGAACAGAAACAGAAGTACCACAATATCACTATAAAACAAGTATTTTAATAATCATTAACATCAGGTGAACCAGCCACAAGAGAAAAAAATTGTGACAGTTTGGGCTCAGTTTAAAAAAAAAAAAAAAAAAACTGATCCCAGAAGTTGTGGTGTGCAATTTGTGTTGCACAGCTACTTGGGGCAATTTGTGATTAACTACATGGTCTGTTTAAAATTAAGAGTATGTGCCTGGCAGCTGAATTATCAGTGTAGTTAACTAGTTTATACACTGACTAAGATGAGAATAAACAATGACAATGTCTGTGCTGTGTTGGCACATTTCAGTGGCAGAGGAATGTCTTAACCAAAAATGTGTAAGATTGGTTTATTTACTTGTATTTAAATGCAACTTATACAGTGTTACCTCACTTGTGCACGTGTATTATAATGTGAAAATGTACAACAGAGTAGTCAAACTAAAGCATGTGTGTATCCATTGAAGGGTGAAGATTAGCCTGCAGGTTAGTTTTGGCAACACTGTACAAGTGTCTTTTATTAGATGTGCACGCCCAGGTTATATCATTGTTTTGAAAGTCAGTATTCATCAAAACTGAGCAATGCAACACAGTTCTCTCCTCCCCTTCTTAGAAATACGTTGAGTCTTCTACAGGGATCATTTTGAAAGTTATTTGAGGGGATATGTAGTGATTTTTGTTGGAATTATAAATGTATTTCATAAAGATTTGTAGTGTAATGCACCATAGTGTTTTCTAAAATGATCTCATCAGCTAGACAGATTCTCTAGTGAATATTTGTCTCTTTTCTATCATTGTAAATTGAATATTTATATTTTAGACTGTTATTTGGACAAAGACATCTGGGACATTGGAATGGGCATTTTTCCAAATCTTTGACATTTTATAGAAACAATTATTCATAGATTAATTGAGAAAATAGCAGTAGCTTGATCAATAATAAAAATAATTGTTGTAGCCCCAAAAGTAAGCTGTCTTCATTGCTTATGAGTTTGAAAGGTGTTCTTTGTGCCACGCATGTGCTGTCTGCTAGTTATGTGATCATTTAGACACCAGCTGCCAATGGTTGAATCAAAGTGGGTCAGAGTGTCTCTGGAACGCTTCGTTCCCTTTGGTTACATCCCACTCTTTTCCCTTTAAAAAATTTTTTTCTCTTTACATTCCTTTTTCTGGGTCTCTTACACCTGCAAGCTGCTTTAACAGTTAGCCAATTGCTATTCAAATCACAGGGTGTGATAAAATGTCCTCCTCTGTGTGGCGCTTCCTCTGCTGTCCTGGCATCCCTCCTCCTCCTCCTCCCCTTCCCTTGTTCCCATCAAACTATTCAGGCGTGTCCTCTAGGCTAGCTCAGTTTGGCGATTCTCTCTCTATCTGAGTCCCACAATGGCTGGGTTTGTAGTGGGTTTTGAAGTGTTGGCACCAAGATCATGACGACCAACGCATTCAGAGCCACGGGCTTGCCTCAGGACCGCATAACAGGGTTGTCTTTTCACTGTGGACTCAGGAAGGATAGATGGCTCGTGCCATTAAGGGGCACTTGTTGGGGTTAGAGAACTAATCACTTGAGTGAGCACATGAAAATGTATAAACAGTGGTGTCTTTTCAAAAGAATATTAACATGAAGTGGAATAGCATCTTCTATCTGGAACAAGTAAATATAGCCTAATCTATGCAGTTCATTGTCACAGAAACCAAATATGGTCATGAGCTCTTTTATCCAACCACTTTGAATGTGACAGCGGTAGCTAAACCCAAACAAAATAATATCATATTCAGTGCAAAACAAAAAAAGTGAATCTAGCCAATTAGCGGTAGCTTTTATGCATCTTACTAGCTAGCACCATATTTACATATGTCACTACCACTTAGAACATCTGTACTATACTGAAAATATTCAACCTCTTTCTGCAGAAGTACATTTCATTGACATAACAAGCTAAGAAACAGCAGTTATCCCCCCCTCTTTTTTTTTTCTCTTGCCGTTTACTCTGTCCTGCTACTTTGGTCCTTCAAAGGTTAACCTCAATGCTGGCTGAGGAGAGGGAACCAAATATATCTCCAGGGGTGAATGTTGTCTAAATAAATGACCTTTTTCTTACCTACATCAGCATAAAACCTGCAAGTGAGCCAACTGCTAAACTGAGCTCTGGCTAATGTTGAATCACGCTGAAATCATTCTGCAGTGCAACTGACTGTAACTTTTAAAAGTGTGTCTTTAAATCAATGTGGTGTATTTCATACTGGTGCTGTGAATGGTGAATCTTAGTCACAATTGTTGAAGAAAAGTTAGTGTTTTTACAGACTTGCTGTCTGTTTTTTTTTTTTGCTTAAAGAGAAGAATATAGTGTCTCTTCATGCTTCTGTCTGTATGCTCTGGCTGGCTGGTGGTTTATAGGATAAGGTCTGAGGGGTCAGAATTCCTTTGAGTGTGGATCCTATGTGAAGATGAGATATAGGAAATGTGTATGGGTGTCAAATGTAAAAGGTCACCTTTGGTTTTGTCTTTCACTTCTTGTCTTCCAGGCCCTCCAGAAGTTGGCAAATCAGTATTTAAAGAGGGAATGGCCAGACAGTCTGACAGAAGAACAAGCAGACCACAGGTAAGGAAGGTTATTTCACCAAACAGACGACTGTTGTACTCTTTCTAATTTGACATTTTCTTGGAGCTAATGTTGAAGTCAGAAGTTTACATACCGTAGCCAGATATATTTAAACTCACAGCTCCTGAAATTTAATCCAAAAAACATTCCTTGTCTTATTTCAGTTAGGATCACTACTTTATTTTAAGAATGTGAAATGTCAGAATAATAGTCGAAAAAGATTTATTTCAGCTTTTATTCTTTTTATCACATTCCCAGTGGGTCAGAAGTTTACATACACTCAGTATTTGGTAACATTGTGTTTAAATTGGTTCATTTGGGTCAAATGTTTTTGGATGCCTTTCACAAGCTTCTTACAATAACATGCTGGAATTTTAGCTCCTTCCTCCTGACAGAACTGGTGGAACTGAGTCTGGTTGGTAGGCCTTCTTGCTCACACATGCATTTTTAGTTCTGCCCACAAATGTTGTATTGGATTGAGACGTGTAAGAGCAGCTTACATTCCCCCCCCACCCCCCACATTCTGCAGAAAGCTGAGGCATTGCTGGTTTTAAAAATTTTGGTCTTGCAAAATCATTTCTGAGCATTGTGAAAGAACCTGTATGTATTTGTGTTTGGTTTAGGAACATGTATTGTGTATGGAGGGCCTATTTGGAGGGCACAGTCCAGGTCACACAGTCCAGAATCAGTTCCTGTGATAACTACAAAGTCCAGGTTGCTGATCCAGCCAAAACAGCTCGACTGCAGAAGGAACAACAGCTGAGGAAGGTAATGCAGGTCAATCGCGCAACTCTGCTCAGGTTTCAGTCACTTTACATTTGTTGCATTCACACAACTGTTTGCACAGCTCCACTGATGTAATTCAGGGTGTGTGTCTTTGTGTTTCTAAAGGGTAAAGGGAAGTAGGTCTGAATCTGATGGAAGGTCAATCAAAATGTGCTTTGAAACTTGAATCATTGTTTTCAACAAGAATTGCATGTAACATTTATTTGGTTATTTCTCATCTTATTTGAACTAATTTAGCAGATATTTTTTTAAATGTTGGGGTGATACTACATTTTTGAAGCCACTGCTCATCAACTATCTAGTATCATTAAAGCTAAAATGCAAATGCATATAAGAAACATTACAAATGGTTTTTATTTTTTCCAGATATTACAAAAGTGTTAATATTTCATGTTTGTAATTAATAAGGCAAGCAAAAGATGAGGGGAGAGTGAGATTCTCAGTCTATTAAAACTGATTTGTTCCCTACTGCTCCTTATGATCAGTCACACAGTGTTTAATTACAGTCGAATTCACGATATAGTAGTTGAATTTTATAGTAGTATGAATTTTCTTTCCATAGTCTATAACGAAAGAAAAAACACTTAAACATTTTTACAGAAACTTTGTACAACATGAAAAATGTCAGTTAAACAACTCGCGTCACAGCCATCACCAGTGGGATCTGTATTTAAACACTGAGTGTAGTACTGATAAACAGTGCAATAAACGGTTTGCCAAATGAGGGCAGAAGTCACAGCAGTTGATCTTATCATTAACAATTAACCCACTATCAGTAATCTACCACACCGTACATCTGGAGTTCAGGCCTGTTCCCTGGTCATAAGGCTGAGGTCACCTTGATTCAGTGATGATGAAACAAAACCGGTGCGGTTCTCTGGTTTTTGCTGACTATGTTCTACTGCCTTCAGCCTACAATGCTGCTATTGTTCATCATCACCTTTAAGGAGACGCTGTACCAATATCATACCTTGTGCCTCTTAACCATATCGCTTGTAGATATGGTTAAGAGGCCTTTGCATATTTTTTAGGAGTTTGCACCGCAAGAATAATAATTTGGATAAATGTAAATCTCTCTCCTGTTTTTCTCTGTGTCTCCAACTTGTCCTCCACAGTGTATTGAACAGCTGACAGTGGTTCAAGCTGAGCTGCAGGAGTCAGTGAAGGAGCTGACCAAGAGCAGGAAGAAGTACCAGGAGGCTGAGACGATGGCACAGGCTGTCAGGGAAAAGGCAGAGTTGGATGCAAAGTATGAACCAAAAAGGTCTTCGTTTACATATAGTGATGCTAATAAACATGATGACATATGGGATTAAACTGATGTTGACTCTTGTTGCCTAGCACTAACCTGCAGGGCTGCTGGTATACTTGATTTTCACCAGTGTGTACACTTAAATGCCTTCAACAACATTATTGTTTTTTGTACTTGCTTCCATATGTTAGGTTTATCTGGAGGATTAAAATGTATATTAATCATGGGACGGTTTAGGGCCAAATCTTCCCCTGGGAAATTTTATAGCTTCCTTTCAACTTTGCTTGAAACAGTCACAGGAAGCGCCTAAAACAGTACACACTATATAAACAACTAGAACATATTGGACTAAATAGATTTACAAACTAGTTGTGATGTCACAAATCATCTACTTCTTACATAGTTTAAGCTCAAATCTTAGGGAAACTTTTTCCTTTTGGTAGATGAATGTGAAACTTTCTTCTAGAGTAAAACACATGCATCAGTCAAAGCCAAACGTGTTTGAATGGAAGGGGGACAACTGGAAGAACGTCATCGGCAGACTCTAGTGAAAATACTCGTTAGTTGCAGCCTAACAAACCTTCAGGCTGTTATTGAGGGAGCTTTTGTCTTCTCTCACTTTCAACACACACACACACACACACACACACACACACACACACACAGACAGAGTGACTACATCGACCTGCAAAATTAACTGTAAAAAAAACTTCTCGTGAGTGGAGGTCATTGAGGTACACAAAACGAATACTTCTCTTTTGACACTTCCTACATTTGTGTTGCAAGCTGTTACTGCTCTCATGTTGATTATTGCATTTACATGCACTTAACCCTTGTGTTCTGTTAAGGATCTTAAGTAACCAGGTTACACAGAGAAACCAGGTTACTGCAGTAACCTGTAGGATGTTTATCTTTTATGCAAGTCCAAAATTTTACGAAAGTTTCCTTTTTCACCTACACTGATTACGGTACCAGGTTTATTGTTTTGATTACTTTTAAGAAACAGCCTACCAGAGAAAGTCGGTGTGTATCCCTGTGCATGTAAACACACTGGTTTTTTTATTGCCTCTTTTTGATATCTTGCTTGATGTTCATCTTCTGCCCTGACTAGGTTTTAAGCTTAAGCCTTCAGAGAACAACTGTCCTTCTTGCTTTGTTCCCTCTGTTGACCATCAAGAATGTGGCCATACTTTGCTGCCATGATTTAAATTAATCACTTCCATATACTGCTAATATACATAATTCAAGCTACATGAAATATTACAAATTGGCATTTGTTGATATGTTCCCATTTAAAGTTATAAAGTTCTTTTCAGGTCCAAGCTAAGTCTGTTCCAGTCCAGATCCAGTCTCCAGAGAGCAAGCGTAAAGGTATGAGCCTTTCACATCCAAAAACCTGCTCTACATTTGGTGACATTTTGGTGCCGCAATCAATCAGTAGTTTGAACTTTTGCATTTCAGCTCAAAGCCAAGAGGAGCGAGTGTAACACCAAAGCGACCCATGCCAGAAATGACTACCTTCTCACGCTAGCTGCTGCTAATGCTCATCAGCAGTGCTACTACAACACAGACCTCATGGACTGCATCAAGGTGAAGGCATATATCTGAATGGGTTGGTGGGTTGTGGGATGTCAACATGTACAGCAAACCTTAAAACATTTTTTTCGGTGTTTTCAGATTTTAGATGGCAGAATCTATCACCAGGTCAAAGATTACCTGGTCTCACTGTGTCAGACTGAGCTGGAAACTTACCAGGCTGTCCACAACACCTTCAACCAGCTTTTGAACAGCTCAAATGGGGTAAGTGTTCAGAATCTACAGGACTACCAGTATAATTCATATCCATTTAATCTTTGGCAGAAGACAGGCACCGGCTTGCAGAGGACACTTGAATCTGTCATCAGACAGTGGTCTTTTATCAAGTTACTCATGGAACTAATGAGCGCTGTATTGATTAATTGATAGAACTTTTTGCTAATTAATCATT